TAAGTGAAACTGGGTGCCCAAGAGAAGTTACGATAGTCGAAGTAGGAATCCAATTATAGCATCTCCAAAGGATGGAATCATATTCCATAAATGGCAGAATAGAACAGAACAGAATTGAATTGAATTCTTTATTGACCAAGTGTGATTGGGCACACAAGGAATTTGTCTTCAGTGCATAAGCTCATAACATATTGCTGTGGGATGTCACAAGATTTCTCCCTGAGGATATTTAGTTTTAAATTCTGAAGTGTGGTGTTTGCAGAGCTGGGCTACAATGATAATATCGTCACTTGTATCTTAATATTGCCTTTTTGATGCCCCATCATGCCATTTTTGGCTTCACAGTATCCTGTGGGGACCGAAAAGAATCCTTAGGACAATATGACTGGTCTTTAAATTAATGTTTCTCAACCTCAGCAACATTAAGATGTGTGGACTCCAACTTCCAGAATTCCCCAGACAGCATGGTGACTGGGGAATTCTGGAAGTTGAAGTCCAGGTATCTTAAAATTGCCAAGGTCGAGAAACACTAATTTAAAGGCCAGTGATACTGGGTTTTTCTTAGGGTTCTTACTGTTCAAAGGGTTCTTCTCCCATTTCCCAACCCTTCTAAGCCTCGGGCTGCAGGAGCCCCAGGGCTGCTCTTCCCAGCACCTCTTGGCACCGTCTTCGCCTGCGTTGCCCATGGCTGAGAGGAAACAGCACCATGGAGGAAGGTGCCCGCTGTCTCCTGTCAGGGAGGCAGGTGTTGACATATTGGTGCGATGCAACACCCACCACAAACAAATGAGGTGACTCCCTAGTTGTCTAGTTTCCCCCAATGTGAGTGTGACATGAAATTGTCCATCTGACAATGTAGAAATCACTCCCTGAGGTTGACATCCAGCTTGTCTTCCAAATGATTTTTACATTGGATAAAATGATTGACAGGAAATCAATCTCTTCCTCTCCCAAAAGGGATCAATGAAAAAAGATTTACATTAGATACTTTCATAAGATCTCCTCCTCCTCCTCCTCCTCCTCTTCCACCACCTCCTCCTCCTGCTCCTCCTCCTCGTGAAGCCATCTGGAAGGAAGCAGGTTTTGGTTGCCCACCAAGAAAAGGTTCAGAATGGTGAAAGCTACTCAGCAATGGCACAGCTTCTTCAGATGGTGATAAACAGTTGAGAAGAGGCCTTGGCCCACCTAGGCTACTTCCAGTCAAAATAAGCTCCTCTATGGATTAAGATGCAATCCCTTCCACATAGTACATTTTTGCTTGGAGCAAATGAGGTGTAAGCCTGTGAACAGAGCTGCCTCCTTCCAAGGTCTGGTCTATCACGTCTTTTGGTCCAAGTCCTCCTCCTCCTCCTATTGAAATCACCCAAGAACAAGAAGCATGGGAAGTCCAGCAATCTCCGGCCGTGGGACCGTGGTTGCTACTCCATGCTGTGCCACCACAAAACCACATTTAGACTCCTTGTGGACAGACGATCAGTGAAGAATGCAACTGCTATAGGAGGTGTCCTCTAATGTTCTCATGGAGAATATCCATCTTTATTGTTTTATTACATCCTGCAGCCAAAAATAAAATGACTTCTGAGGCTTCTGTTGATCACCAGATAATAAAGTAGTCTCAACCATAATACTTCAGTTGCTCGTTCATCAGATTGAGTATCTTACTTCTTCAGAGCATCACACTCCTCTTCTGACTTTCCCCAGCACTGTCCAGGATGAGGAAGGCTGAGCTGACCACGAGGAATGAGACAGTCTTCCAGGGCGGCGAACTTTTGACTCTGGCCAAATGCTGGCTACATCAGGAATGGGCTTTAAGAAAGGGCTGCTGGTGGGGGGGGTGTCTGCAGGGAAACAACTTGAAAATTGCTTTTCAGTTTTAGGTCCTTCTCTCATGTCTTCCTTTTTATAAATAACTCCAGAAGAAATAGGATTTGAACAGGGAGAGTTACATGTCTCTGGAACAGGGATTTGAAGCTGATGGGATTCTTCCCCAGCCAGGAAGAAATTGGTCCTGGGTGCAAGATCCAGATTCCTGGGCAACTCTGTTTGTTTTCAAAAGAGCAAGCTTCTAGGTCCGTGGTGGCGAACCTATGGCACGGGTGCCACAGGTGGCATGCAGAGCCCTCTCTGTGGGCACATGCACCGTCACCCCAGTCCTAGGCCTTCAGCTGAGTTTTATAAAACCTTTTCACTTTAGTCCTCCGCCACCATGTGGGGGAAAAAAAGGTTCAATCAATTTCAGCTTCTTGCGGGAAAAAAAAGATCTCGCAAAGTTGGAATTGATTGATTGAACTTTTTAGTCCCACCCAGTCTGCCGTTACCACCAAAGCCACACCCACCCAATGGGCCACGCCCACCCAATGGGCCACGCCCACCCAGCACCCGACGATACTTAAGTGGGTTTTGGGTTTCAATTTGGGCACTCGGTCTCTAAAAGGTTTGCCATCACTGTTCTAGGTCTTGTGTGTGCCTGGATATGATTCTCAGACTTGGATTGGGATTTAGCAAAAATTCTAGCCATTTCCTGTAAAAATAAATTAAGCAAATTAGAAACTTGATAGAGTAAATATGCATAAATTATGTGTATAAAACACATGTTCAGTGTGCACAATTTGTTTTTTAAAGTACGGGTCTTCTGATGGAAGGGCAGCTCCAGAAGTCTCCCCAAGCCAACTTTGCAAGTGTGCTATACTGTGTAGACGCTAATAAATTTGGCAACAGGGAGGTCTGGCCCGATCTTAGTCCACTGGTCCCTTCTGAAGGAATCGCAGCCACCCCAAGTGATTGAGGAGACTTTCCTAAACCAGTGGAGATGTTTCCAGACAAAGTTTTGAGGTGCAGATTTACTGGGTTTTTTGTGTGTGTGCGTGTGTGTTGATTCTAGAGGCTTTCTGCAAAGCAAAAATGATTTGGGGGCTATCAGGTGGCTTTGTAGCAAGTCTCACATTTATCACCCCACAGAGCAGCGCTTCTTAAATGGGGGGCAGTCACCCCCAAAATGTTTGGGCATCTCCTGGGGGAAGGGAGCAATTTGCCATCGCTGTCTGGGGATCCTGATTGAAAGTACTGCCTCCACCATGACACTTACGTAACATAACAGAGTCTGGGTTTTTCTAGGGGTAATGAGAGTTGGGGGGGAGAGGATAGTTGAGTCAGACAGTTTAAGAATCACACATCTAGAGCAAGGTGATGGGAAGGTCAAGACCCTCCCCCCTTTGAGGCCCAAGGCTTGGAAAAGTACAGCCATATGGGTGTTGGTCTAGGAATGGGAGACCCTCCTCTCCCCACTTTCCTCACAAAGTGGTGTTGTGGGGAATAAGGGTCCGGGGAACCACTTGAACTCCTGAATGAAAGGTGGAATATACTAAAGCAGGGGTCCCCAATCCCCGGTCCGTGGACCGGTACCGGGCTGTGGCATGCCACCAACCGGGCCGCACAAGCAAGCAAAGCTGCATCTGTGGGATGCAGGCAGCACACAAAACCACACACTTTCCGGTCCGTGGAATAAACAATAAGCTTTACCACTCTGAAAGCTCAGGGGTGGCCTGAGTGGAGGCTGCTCCTTTGAAGGATGTCTCTTGGCTTGCATCTGGATGTTCTCAGCATCTTTTTCTCTCTTCTCCTCCTCCTCCTCCTCCTCCCCCCACCCACAGAATGTCCCACGGAATATCCTCTGCACCCTCTCCAAAAGTGGTCCTCTGGGAGGAGAAGTGAAGAGCTGCTGTCCCTGCCAGGAGGCCTGCAGCAAAGGCAAGGAATCGCCCAGGGACTTTTGCACAGAAACAGGCGTTTGGCGGCCATCTGGAGAATGAATCGGCTCCGTTTTCTGCACTGCCTGGAGCATGGCCAAGCCTTGGCCTCCTGAAGGCCGGCCCGCCCTCTCTGCCATTGCAGCCTGAAGAGGCCTGCAGCTATGGACACGAGGGTTCCCAGGCCCCGTCTTGAGCCACCCTCACCATGCTCGTGCCTGGGGACAAGAACTTCCTTACCAACATCATCTACATTGTCTTTGAACTGGTCATTGCCCTTCTGGCCATCTTCGGGAACGTCCTGGTCTGTTGGGCCGTCTATCTCAACAGCAATCTGCAGAACGTCACCAATTACTTTGTGGCTTCCCTGGCGGTAGCTGACATTGCGGTGGGGGTCCTGGCCATCCCCTTTGCCATCACGATCAGCACTGGCTTCTGTGCCTTCTTCTACGGCTGCCTCTTCATCGCCTGCTTTGTCCTGGTGCTGACCCAGAGCTCCATCTTCAGTCTTCTGGCTATTGCCATTGATCGGATTATTGCTATCCGTATCCCTCTCAGGTAAATATGCCAAAGATGCAGAACTGAATAACAGAGTTGGAAGGGACCTTGGAGCTCTTCTAGTCCAACCCCCTGCTCAAGCAGGAGACCCTATACCAGGGGTAGGCAACCTCGGCTCTTTGATGACTCGTGGACTTCAACTCCCAGAATTCCTGAGTCAGCTATGCTGACTCAGGAATTCTGGGAGTTGAAGTCCACGAGTCATCAAAGAGCCGAGGTTGCCTACCCCTGCCCTATACTATTTCAGACAGGTGGCTGTTCAATCTCTTAAAAGCATCCGGGGATGGAGCATCCATGATTTCTGAAGGCAAGCCCTTCCACTGGTTAATTGTCCTCACTGTTAGTAAGTTTCTCCTTAATTCCAGGTCGCTTCTCTCCTTGATTAGCTTCCATCCATTGCTTCTTCCCTTACCTTCTGGTGCTTTGGAGAATAGGTTGACCTCCACCCCCTCTTCTTTGTGGCAGCCCCTCAGATATTGGCTACTGCGCCATTATGAGGGGCTTCTCTGCAGAATTCCAAGGTTGTGATTTAGCAGGGCCTGTGCCCACCCCGGGTGCTTGTGATTGCCATGCACAGCACAATGGGCTCCTGCTGGCCCCAAACAGGCAGAGCGCTTCTTTGCAGACACAGAAGTCACCCCACGACAGGACTTCTGCCTTTCAGTTGATTAGCCATTGCCTCATTCACAGCCTTTAGGGACTCAGCGGTATTACCTTCATCTGCTGAAAAGAGAGCGATGGCAGAAGTTCTTTGTATCTTGTGACATCTCAACCCTTGTCCCTGAATCAGCTGCCCCAGAGGCTAAAGGACATGGGCCCCGGTTCCAGGAGGGAACCCCACAGCAAAATTGCCCAGGAGAAAGCAGCCATCCCCTGTTATGCAAGGAGTAGCCCCATCCTGAAATAACAAAGTCCCGGCTTCCTAGCCAGGAAGGCTCCAACAGGATGCCCAGGTGGAGTGGCGGCATAGCCCAAGACAACCGTCAACCACCTCCCTTCCCTCTTGCACCGGCCTTAAAAGGTGACCCAGGCAGTTCCAGCTCAAAACCTGGGTTAGAATTGCATGAAACTGAATCTAGAAAATGGTTTATTCAAGAATTTCTGGAGCTGTTCAGCAGCAAGGCACTCTGTGTAGGTTGGAGAAAGACTTTTAGAACAGCAAAAGGCTTTTTTTAGATGTTTGTAAATTAAAAGAATCAAAATATTTGCTGCTTAATGGGGACAATGAAATGTTATGAGCTAACAACGACCCCCCCAAAAAGAGAGAGAGATACCCAAATCCTTTTTTGCCCCAGTTTTCTGCGACAAGAAGTGCTTTCCATTAGGAGATGGGAAAACAGGACAAAGGGGCGGAATTGAAGCTTGAGGTGGGGAATATCTGAGTTTCAGTCCACAAAGAACAAACTGGCATATGTGCTGGGAGAAGCTTTCTCTTTGGGAAAACCTGGAGAAATTATGAAAGTGACAGAGAGCAAATGTCCTTTCTTCAAAAGAAGGGAAAGGAATCTACGGGGAACTACCAATCTGACATCAGTATTGGGGAGATCCTTGAAGCAGATTAGGAGACTGACCTATAAGATGAAACACTGCAGATTTAATCTGTTTTGATTGAGGTAGAGCATCGGAAAGCTAGTCCAGGACATTCTGATTGGCAGACTAGTTAAGTGTCAGTTTATTCATTTAAAACATTTACATTCAACCAACTCTGGGCTGCTCCTAATCAAAAATTAAATAACATAAAATAATTTTAAAAACTATAAAACTCAACCAATTAAAACATTAAAAACAACAAAGTTGGATGGGATGAAAATTAAGTTGATATATAATTGGCTAAAAATCGACCGGAGAATCAAATCTGAGTGAGGTGCAAGGATCAAACCTGGAAACTTTATATTTTAGGATTTTATAATAATGATTTGGGTGAAGAAACATAGGAATGCTTAATACATTTTGCAGGTGCACCAGACAGCCACACTCAGTGTTCATCAGTGGCACATAAGATGGTGAACATTATTAATTTTATATCCAACATCAAGACTGGATCTCGAAAAGGCACTTTTCTGGAAACGTTTGTTTTTGTTTTTTTTAAAGCAACATCTTTGGCAAACATTTGCTGGATCTTTCACAGCCCCTCCAGGTGTTAAGATACTCAGTTTGCCCCCCTCAATTTGAGAAGATGTGGGGGCTGCCTGTGGCCGACCAGCCTCCAGCCTTGGGAAGTGGAACCGGCCAGAAGTCTTGTGACCAATAATCTGAGCTTGACCACCCAGAAGCCTAAAGGCAGGACCTGGACAAAAATGGAAAGCAAAATAGCTTTCCTTTCCAGTGCCTTGATTAGAGAATTCAGACATTGTTTATCTGGAAAAATAAGCATAAATTAAGTCACAGATTGTACTTCTGAAGATTCCTCAGAAGGGGCTTCTTGTCTCTTCTCAGCCCTTGTTAGGCTTCTGCTCTTTGCCCACCACGGATGGAGCTTGACAGGGAGCAGGCAGGGCCTCCCACAAACGGATCGGGGATCCCCCTCCTGGCAGAGGCCACTCTTGGCACAGCCAGTCCCAGCGCTTCTCAAAATAAAACTAGGACACCAGTGGTATTTCATTCATTCTTAATTTTTAAAAATAATTTACATGATTTGTAAGCTGTCTTTTGGGGCAAAGGCCCCTTCCCTTGTTGATGCCCAGGAGAGCCCCCCCCCCCCCGACTTCTGGAGCAGGCAATCTTCAGGCTCCATCAGCCCCACCACTGCTGGTCTCAAGGCCCTTCTGTGGAGCGCCAGTGAGTTCCAGGAATTTCCAATATTGATCAGAAATCTCTTTGTAAAGGAAAAAAAAATATCAGCATGGGCAGAATAAAGCTCCTCATGTCATTGGTTCCAGGAATTGATATTACCCGATTGATATTACCCAATTATCCCAACCATCAATTTATATGATCCTTGTCTTCATTACAACAAATGCCACATGAAACTTGATTTCAGCTATTGGCTCACTGTGTTGTATTTGGGTCTGAGTGCGCACTGGTCAAAGATGAGTCTATGGGGCAATTTTGGGTTTTCCCCTCCACTCTCAACTGATAGTGTCGTGGGGGTGGGCATGGATCTTGCCCCCAGGCCCTTCACTCCTTGCAGCTGGGAAGGGATTCTGGCTGTGCCGAGTCCTGGTGATACCAGAAGGTGATTCCCACCGCCTTAAAATGTCCTCACCTTCATGGTTGGGAACTGTAGCCGTGTGAATGGAGCCCCCAACAGACATCCTTGCTATTCCAAGATGAAGTTTCCAGAGTTCTTTGAGGAACTCCACAGTGAACAAACCCCCAGATTATTTACAGCGTGGATAGAATCACAAATCCTGGGCTTCCTGTTCATAGAGGATCCTTTTAGAATGAACTTAACAAAGCCTTTTAAAAAAACAACAGGTTTTCAAGTATGGGGTTCAGTTCTCATCTACCTCAAAAGAAGGATCTAGTTGGAACTGAGGGCAATGCTGGGCATGGCTTGAGATCTGCTGAGGAGGTGGATTGAGTCCCACTGTTAGTCAATCCACCCATTGCTGGCCACGTTCCACGGCCCCTGATCCCAGCTCTCTCCTGTTGCAGTGGAGTGGTTCTGCAGCAAGAAGAAGCTGGACAGATTCTATCAATTGATCAGTTCTGCTCTCTTCCCTTCCCGTGTAGATCGGATTTCATGCATTGCCTTTCTCTGCTCTTCTTTCAGGTACAATGCTCTAGTGACCAACTCACGTGCCAAGGGAGTCATAGCCATCTGTTGGTTCTTATCCTTTATTATTGGCCTGACGCCAATGCTGGGCTGGCACAGAAAGACTCTGGAAGAGAATGGGCAAAGCGAGAATAGAACCAACTGCAGCAGCAATATGATGCATTGCTTCTTTGCGACTGTGGTCACCATGGATTACATGGTCTACTACAACTTCTTTGCATGCGTGCTGCTTCCTCTCCTTCTGATGTTTGGGATCTACTTGAAGATCTTCATGACAGCCCGGCAGCAGCTCAAGCAAATGGAAAACAAGATGATGCACGGGGAACGATCCCGATACATTTTACAAAAAGAGGTCCATGCAGCAAAATCCTTGGCCTTCATTGTTGGGATGTTTGCTATATGCTGGCTCCCATTACACCTGATCAATTGCTTCACTCTCTTCTGCCCTACTTGCAGAGAGCCTCCCCCCGGGGTCATGTACCTGGCCATTATCTTGTCCCATGCCAACTCCGTGGTGAACCCCCTGATCTACGCGTACCAGATCCGAGAGTTCCGCTGCACCTTCAGGAAAATCATCCAGCAGCACATCCTGTGCAGGAAGCAAGGCTTCAGATCCGCCACTGCCAGCCGGAGGACGTCTGCTCACGACGGGGAGACTGAAAACACCACTGTGCAGATCAGCAAATATTCCCTGGAGTTCTGCTCCGGCAGAGACTTCAGGGGCATCCATGGGGCTGGTTCTGGGGGGGAGAGCATCTGCATGGAATGGACCCCCAACCAAAATGGGCTAGCTGGAGAAGTGAATGGGCACCTTGTACTTCCCTGCAAAAATGGGGAGCTCCAGAAAAATGGAACCGCTTAGCCAGGAGCCTCTTGGGGTTCCTGGGTTTTATGGTAACACGGAGGCTTCACTGGAAGCCTCAAAGGGGTCCTGAGGATGCTGGGGCTGAATCTTCCTAGGCTGCAGCATTAAGAAACGAGGAGTCCGTTCAGCCCTTCTGAAGGGTTGGGGGAGAAGAGGCCTGCCAGGAGAGGCGGAGGGCACCAGAAGCAGGCAGGAGTCTTTGCAGGCGAGGGTCAGCAAGCCAAGCATACCCATGGTGGATGCTTAAGGGGCCTCGGGGAATGGGAGAGGGGCAATAGCCCACGCCATCGTGCCAGTTCGGTGGCCACATTTTGCCACAGTCCAAATGCACTTAGAGACTCAAAGGGCAAGGAAGCTGCACCTTTGGCTGCAGGAGGGGGAGGGGAAGGCTGACTACCGGTCGTGCTCACTGAGTCCATCCAGCTGCTTGGCTAGAAAACTGGACAATCATTGTGTAAATGCTGTTGTTAGTGTAAGAATGCAAGTAGAGGATTCTTCAGTGCAACCTAGTTGCTTTCAGCTACTCTCCTTCCACTGGGGTTGTGGGGCACAGAGGGAGAGCAAAGCTTCCTCCCCAGGGGGACTCTCTCATCGGACGCAAATGGCTGCCCAGGTCCGGTCCAGTGGGCAGAGCGGGGATGGGGCTGACAGGAAGAAGAGGGGAGGGGAAGCAACCCCTCCCCAGGCAGAAGGAGCTGGCCGTTTGGAGACCGAAGAAGAGTCTTCTGCAGCCAGGATGGGATGGGATGGGGGATTGGTGTCTCTCAGGGCCCTTGAGACAACAGCTCCCTCTTCCAGTCTTTTTCTTGCTGCTGTGTTTGCTAAACCTTCTGTCTGTTAGGATCCTTCTCCTGATTCTTTTCTGCTTTCTCTTGAATTTTTTTTCTGACTAAATATTATACTTTTTTACAAAAGCATAAAACAGACTTTAAACAATGAAAGGTGCCAATCATGCTACTTTAATTGAAAATGTCCCCATAGACCGGAGGAAAGGCCACGCTGATCAATTAGAAATAATTGTGAGCTGCCAAGGGGTAGCGGGCACGGCTACCAGCTGTTTGTGGATAGTGGCAGGGTGGCCGTCATGGAGCCAGTGCCAGTGAAGCCTGGAGGCTTGGGAGGCTCTTGGCACCGGGCCTGTCAAGGCAGCGGTGGCAACATTGGCAGCCTTGGTGGATTGATTGGGTTTTCAAGAAATGCAGGCGGACACGGGTGCTTGGCAGGCTGCCCGTGGTTTGTGGGCCACACAAACTAAACTGTGGCTCGGAGTGGCGCAAATGGAAATCCTACTATCCTGTATGAGGAATCGGCACCACTGAGGTTGAAACCAGGGACACAGGTTGCCTTGTATTGCACCACAGTTCCCATAATCCCCGGCCATGCTAACTAAGGCTAATAGTGTTGAAATCCGATCTCACGTGGAGCTCTTCTGGAGAGTGCCTGGAGCAAGGAGAGGGTGAGGGGGCCCGTTTGGGCCTCTTCAAAGCCACCGCTTGGCAGGGAAACCAAGAAATGGCTGCTCAACGCCTGTCCCCAGGGAGAGCCCCTCTGGCAGGAAGAGATGCCCAGGCTGCCATGGCATTGCGTTCCGTGCAAGCAGAAACCCACAGTTAAAAATAGACTTGTGTTTCTTTGAACGAAGTCCTGGAAGAGTCTGACAAACCTGGGATCCAAAAAGCCCAGGTCCTTCAGAAGCAGCCCCCCCCCTGCTCCTCTCCAGCTGCCCAGCCCTGGCAAGACAACTGGATGCAGGAGAGACAGGGGGGGCCTTGAAGGAGCAAAGGCAAGAAGGACTGCATCCCCCCCCATTATGGTCCCTCAGACCACCACCCCCATTATGGTCCCTCTTGCTTCTGAGCTTGAAGTCGTGAAGCCAGCCTGGCAGAGAAGCCCCCGCCCGGCAGCCTCTGGCCTGGCCCAAAAGAGGAGCGGAGAAGGGGAGGCGGCTCCTCCACCGTGTTCCTTCCCAGCGTTTTCTCTTCCAGCCTCCCCTCTTGGCTCTCCCCAGAGCTGCTTTCCCAACTGGGAAGGAGAACTTGCCTTCATGCCGAAGAAGAACGCCCAGGTCAAGGCCGGCTTTGGGCCAATGAACTTGCGATCCACAGGCAGCCCCCAGTGTGGGAAAATACCAGAGGTGGAAGGGTTGACCTCAGGAAGTCCTCCAGGCTGAAGCACCAGGCTAGGATGCTGGTGGAGGAGGCGGTGAGCCCCCCCTCTCCCCCCTCCCTCCCAGCCAGCCTCTGACTGTCTCAGCAAATGGTGACAAACTCCCCCCCCCAGACTGCCAGGGTCGCTTTTCCAAGCTCAAGCCAAGGGGAACCTCAGTGATATCCATGAAAAAGCCCAACTTGGCTGCGGTTGGCTGGTCTGGCAGGAAGTGGGAATGACACTGGGTGACAGAGGAAGGACACACATTTCACACCCCCAAAGGGTAACAGATGCAATAGCAGTAATCCACAAAAGCAGCAGTTAAAAACTAAGGAACACACTAAAGGAAGGCATTGAACCATTAAACAGATGATTGAAAGAGTTTAGTGTCCAAGTGAGGAGGAAAGCACTACAAAGGGGCCCCTCCTCTCCAGCCTGGGGCCCTGCGGAGTGACTCCGGGCTGGGAGGGGGCTGGGCCCACCAAGCTCTTTAAGGGGGAGCAGTTCGTGCCCAGAGGGTGCTTCCCCACCAGGCTGTCAGGCTGCCGGCTCCTGATAAGAGAGGCGGCTGCGAGTGCAAAGGGGAGATAAACCTGGTGGGGAACAGCTGCTTAATCAGCCAGCCAGCTGCCCCAGACCGAAGCCAGGCCTTCATCTGCCGAAGCCATACAGGAAACTCTGTTGGCTGAAGGGCCCAAATGGAGTCCAGGCTACTGAGAGGGGCTGCCGGCCTCATGCCGGCCACAGAGAAGGCCAGACTGGTCAACCCCTTTTCAGAGGCAGCTGGTTTTCCAAAGTGGGGCACTCCTGTGCATACCTTCTGCACAATAACACCCTCTGCATCTGTAGCAGCTTTATTTACCCTGAAATCCATATTGGGAAGCTAAGGATGATTTCTCCGAAGCCGAGGCTGGGCAGCGCTTCTTCTGTATCTTCAGTCAGGGACTCTTTCCTTGCAAAGAACGGGCCCTTTGGTGTGAGCTGTAGTTTGAGGGAGAAAAATGCCTGCATTTCACTCTGGGAATTTACATCCTCTCTCTTTTCCTGCTTTTCTTCCCTTTCTTTGGCTACCTTATGCCGGATTTTCAAGAGACCCCTCCTCCAGTTCACAAAGGGGTCCCATTTCTGGAGCAAAGCAGGAGGGGGTCTCTCCATCCCCTGCGCGACTGTAAAACGCAGGGCCTCTCTGTGCCTTCCCATTCTCATTTCCACTGGCTCGGCTATAAAATGAGCCCCTCCCTCCAGCTACGGTCCCATCCAGCTGGCAAAAGGCTGAGGCACCTTCAGCTGCTTGAGTCTGAATCCCAACTTTTCCACCACCTCAGGGCGGGTCTAGGACAACTCGCTGCAGGACAAGAGTTACACTAATATCAAAGAAATGGTGGAATAGAATCATTAAAAAAAGGATGCAAAAGGAGGGACAGAATGAAATCTGAAAAGCAAAAAATTAAAAAAATATATTTATTTTAAATAATTAAATAGAATTGTTAAATTTTCCCAGAGCAAGTTGTCCCGTTTTGAGTTGGCCGTGGCTAGTTGTCCAGCAGCGACTTGGTCATGGCGACTTGGCTGTGGTGAGTTGGCCCAGTCCCCTTCAGGGCTAATCACACACCTGGTGCAACCCGAGTCCAGTAGAGCCCACATCCTCCCCTGGGTCCCTGGCGAGGGCACCACTGGTTCCACAGGAATCCCTGGCTACAGGGATTAGGCCTTGACTTACCAGGGGGCCCTCATGGAGTCGGTTTCACTCGTACCGGCCTGGTCGGAGCCGCCACCTCCTCATAATCAGGAGGGGTGAACTCAGTGACCTTTGCCCCTTTTCATGGGACCTCGGAGCTGGCTCTCTGCCTTCCTCCCCAGGGTCGCTGCTGCTTTGAGGTTGGGCTTGGTGGGTCGGCATTCCACAGCTCGGTGCCCCTCCTTCCCACACTTGAAGCCCACCCCCCAGTAGCCACGCAATCAGGGTCCAATCATTGACCAGGAAGATATTTTGGGAACATCTCTGGTCCAGGTGCGCTGATCCTCCTTCATGCATGCCAATCCCAGGGCAGTTGGCCTTGAAGACGTTAAACAACCCAAAGTGGCCTCTCTGAGTCCAACCCTCCCCGTCACTTCTCAGAAATTCCACTTTCACCTCCTGCAGGCTTCCCCTCCCAAATACATTATTCATTATGGGAACGATTGCGTTCATTATTACTCAAGCTGAGAAGCAGATTAATAATAGCTTCCAATTACGTTGTGGGTTTGTTTATTGATGATTGTCCTGCTTCTATCCTGCTGTTCCCCTGGGAGTTTAACCCAGAGTATGTTTGAGTTGACATACCAAACAAAACACAGATGGTAAGAGAACCATCTGCTACTCATTTCTTTTCCTGATGCTTCTGTAAGGATTCTGCTTCACACCCTCTGAACATAAAACCATCAGACTTAAAAGCGAACAAGCTCTTCCTCCAGAAGGTGGGCAGACTTGGGAGCAACCTGCAAGGAAACTATATGAAACTGTCACTCTTCAGGCATCTTGGATCCCTTGAGACAAACACCTTCTGGAGCTCAACTCACTGATTCCAACCTGCGCCTAATCCGAGTCTCTGCTGAAGTAACTGCAGCTCTGATCGCCCGTATTTGCCTCACACGAAATAGAGGCTCTGTCTTGGCAGATTAATGGCTTACTCCAAAGAATGCAGCTGTCCAAGTTTTAACTCTGGGAAGGAGGGAATTGGTGCTTCCGTCCTTTTCCCCACAGCATCTGCCCCAGTCACTGGGCTGAAAATGCCCCCTGTGCCTCCTGGGGGGGAGGGAATGCCTGCAGTGGCGGAGGTGGCTGCTTTCCATTTGCACGTCCCCCAAGACCCCCTCAGCCTTTCTCCTGTCCCATCG